ATTTGATGGCAGATTGTTTGATTACACCAACTGACAATGAAAACCACAACCGTACATGCTAATTTTACAAGATACAAGCCTAATTTTACAAGACATCAAACCACTCAGTATAAGTGGACAGAATTATCACCATCAGGATTGTCTTGAATTCACCGAGTATTAAAGAAACCACTAGTAAAAAGAGTATAATCGAGACTGACACCGTTGTAGGTTAAACCAGTCGATTGAGTGATGCATTTTGACCCATATCATAATAGTACTTGTTGATATAGCCAAATCTGATGGTTTTTATTGCTCTATACTTGACTAATTCATGCAAATCAACTGTCACTAATCAACGTGACAATAATTTTATCAAGAAATCGCATCAACACTTTATCTGGAACAAGTGTATTGCATTAAACCCAAAAAACCATCAGTGTTACTATGCCTGCATACATTACATTAGCAACATGTTCACTGAACCAGTGGGCTCTTGATTTTTCAGGAAACTATACTAGAATTCAAGAAAGCATTGATCAGGCCAAAGCCGCTGGTGCCTGTTATCGTCTTGGTCCCGAACTCGAGATTCCTGGCTATGGATGCAACGATCACTTTCTTGAAGGTGGGATTATACATGTACATGAATGCAGTTGATTACTGTAACTTTAGCTATTATATGGCACTTGATTGTCGCCAAATCACTCCACTTTATAAATGCATCATGTTTGTCTTGGAATCATTCAACACTGATATCTTGTCAATTAAATAAACGATTCAACTTGATAGCTGATACACACCAGCACTCATGGGAGGTGCTTGCTAAATTATTGGAAAACCCACAGAATGTTGGAATTACTTGTGATGTTGGCATGTGAGTAGATTTTATTCCTATTGCATAGGATCTGGAGTACAATATATCTTTGTGTTGGTGATGCTCATGAAACTAATGATGAAAATATAATTGGGTTTTAAACTATATTGACTGTTGTTAATATTCGTGCTGCGCCATTATATATATGATTCAAATGAATCTTTAATTGGCACATATAGGCCAGTAATGCAGCGAGGTATTCTATACAATTGCAGGGTTATATTTCGTGACCACACTATTGTGATGATCCGTCCAAAGATGTTCATGGCAGATGACGGCGACTACCGAGAAATACGATGGTTCACGCCATGGTCTGAATAT